GGAAGAGGAATAAGACAAGCGGGACTTAAAGGAGGAAGAAGAGCGGTTTGAGTGGGAAGAAGAAGAAGAAGAGGAAGACAAGTGGGGGGAGAAGATGGAAAAAAAGGAGGAAGAGAAGGAAAAGGATGAGGAGGAGGAGAAGAATAGGGAGGAGGAAGATGAATGGAAGAGAAGCAGAAGGAAGAGGAGCAGGAGTGTGATGAGAAAAAGAAAAATTGGAATGGGAAGAGGAGGAGTGAGAAGAGAAGCGGGACTGAGAGGAGGAAGAAAAGGGGTGGGAGTGGGAAGAAGAGGAAGAAGAGGAGAACAAGGGGGGGAGAAGATGAAAAAAAGGAAGAGGAGGTAAAAGAGAAGCGGGAGTGGGAGAACATGAGTGGGAGTGGCAAGAAGAAGAAGAGAAGCGGGACGGAGAGGAGGAAGAAGAGGGGTTTGAGTGGGAAGAAGAGAAAGAAGAGGAGGACAAGTGGGGGGAGAAGATGAAAAAAAAGGAGGAGGTAAAATAGAAGCGGGAGTGGGATTGGGAATAAGAGGAAGAATAGGAGGACAAGTGGAGGGAGATGATTGAAAAAAAGGATGAAGAGGAGGAGGAGGAGGAGGAGGAGGTAGAAGAGAAGCGGGAGTGGGAGAAGATGAGTAAGATTGGGAGGAGGAAGAAGAGGGGCAGGAGTAGGAGGAAGAGGAAGAAGAGAAGCGGGACTGAGAAGAGGAGGATGAATGGAGGGAGAAGATGGAGAAGTAGGAAACTTACTTCTGCAAGAAGAGCCACAAGGAGTGTGAAACACACGGTCGTTTGCTGCAACACAACATTCAGCTGGTCCTTTCGCAGTCCAGGTTCACTCAACCGGAACGGATGAATGGAGTGCTCATCCGCCAGCCTCCTTTCGGCCGATTCTCGACTTTGCGTCTGAGAAGTGTGATTTCTGCTCCATTCCCGCCGCCATCGCCAGCAGCTCGGCTCGGCTTTTTCTGCTTCTGTCAAGTCGAGTCGGTTGGAGAGTAGACACGATGGCGCCAACTGCTGCCAAATGTCTACGAGGCTCGCTACCTTGTTCCTTGTCCAGACCGACTCAAAGAGGCAAATTTATGACAATCTCGGGGAGTACAACTATTTTTAGAGCAGTCTCATGTGTTTATGTACACACATATATATATGCGTGTGTGTGTATGTGCGTACAAGTATGCATATATGAATTTGTGTGAACGAGTGTG